GTGTCTAAATGAGTCTCTATGTATGTCTGAGTCTCTATGAGTCTCTATGGGTCTCTAGGGATCTCTATGAGTCTCTATGAGTCTCTAGGGGACTCTATGAGTCTCTATGAGTCTCTAAGTGTCTCTATGAGTCTATATGTATGTCTATGGATCTCGATGGATCTCTATGAGTCTCTATGTGTATCTATGAGTCTCTATGGGTCTCTATGGGTCTCGAAGAGTCGCTATGTATGTATATGGATCTCTATGTATCTCTATGAGTCTCTATGAGTCTCTATGGATCTCTATGAGTCTCTATGAGCCTCTATGGATCTCTATGAGACTCTATGAGTCTCTATGTGTCTCTATATATCTCTATGAGCTTCTATGAGTCTCTATGGATCTCTATGGATCTCTATGAGTCTCTATGAGTCTCTATGGATCTCTATGAGTCTCTATGGATCTCTATGGATCTCTATGGATCTCTATGAGTCTCTATGAGTCTCTATGTATCTCTATGAGACTCTATGAGTCTCTATGTATCTCTATGAGTCTATGAGTCTCTATGGATCTCCATGGATCTCTATGAGTCTCTATGAGGCTCTATGGATCTCTATGGATCTCTATGAGTCTCTATGGATGTCTATGAGTCTCTATGGATCTCCATGGATCTCTATGAGTCTCTATGAGTCTCTATGAGTCTCTATGTATCTCTATGAGTCTCTATGGATCTCTATGGATCTCTATGAGTCTCTATGAATCTCTATGAGTCTCTATGTATCTCTATGGATCTCTATGAGTCTCTATGGATCTCTATGGATCTCTATGAGTCTATATGTATCTCTATGAGTCTCTATGTATCTCTATGGATCTCTATGAGTCTCTATGGATCTCTATGAGTCTCTATGGATCTCCATGGATCTCTATGAGTCTCTATGAGTCTCTATGGATCTCTATGTATCTCTATGAGTCTCTATGAGTCTCTATGTATCTCTATGAGTCTCTATGGATCTCTATGGATCTCTATGAGTCTCTATGAGTCTCTATGAATCTCTATGAGTCTCTATGTATCTCTATGGATCTCTATGAATCTCTATGGATCTCTATGAGTCTCTATGAGTCTCTATGAGTCTTAATGGATCTCTATGGATCTCTATGAGTCTCTATGAGTCTCTATGGGTCTCTATGGATCTCCATGGATCTCTATGAGTCTCTATAAGTCTCTATGTATCTCTATGGATCTCTATGGATCTCTATGAGTCTCTATGAGTCTCTATGGGTCTCTATGGATCTCTATGAGTCTCTATGGATCTCTATGAGTCTCTATGGATCTCTATGGATCTCTATGAGTCTCTATGAGTCTCTATGAGTCTCTATGTATCTCTATGAGTCTCTATGAGTCTCTATGAGTCTCTATGGGTCTCTATGTATCTCTATGGATCTCTATGTATCTCTATGGATCTCTATGTCTCTCTATGAGTCTCTATGGATCTCCATGGATCTCTATGAGTCTCTATGTATCTCTATGAGTCTATGGGTCTCTATGGATCTCTATGGATCTCTATGGATCTCTATGAGTCTCTATGGATCTCTATTAATCTCTATGTATCTCTATGAGTCTATGGGTCTCTATGTATCTCTATGTGTCTCTATGGATCTCTATGTATCTCTATTGATCTCTATGAGTCTCTATGAGTCTCTATGTGTCTCTATGTATCTCTATGTATCTCTATGTATCTCTATGGATCTCTATGAGTCTCTATGTGTCTCTATGGATCTCTATGTATCTCTATGTATCTCTATGTGTCTCTATGAGTCTCTATGTATCTCTATGAGTCTATGGGTCTCTATGGATCTCTATGGATCTCTATGGATCTCTGCGTTATCGACGTGAGAATATTCGTGCGCTAACCACTGTACATCCACTCCTCCCCTACACACACATACATACACACACACATACACACATACACACACACATACACACACATACACACATACATACACACATACACACACATACACACATACACACACATACATATATACACACACATACACATACATACACACATACACACACACATACACACACATACATACACACATACACACACACACAAACATACACATACACACATACACACGCACCCACACAAACCCACCCACCCACACACCCACCCACACACCCACCCACCGACACACCCACTCACACACCCACCCACACACCCACCCACACACACCAACAACACCCACCCACCCACACACACCCACCCACACAAACCCACCCACCCACACCCACCCACACAAACCCACCCACCCACCCACACACCCACACACACCCACCCACACACCCACCCACACACCCACCCAAACACCCACACACACCCACACACCCACCCACACACCCACCCACACACCCACCCACACATCCACCCACACACACCCACCCAACCACACCCACCCACCCACACCCACCCACACAAACCCACCCACCCACACACCCACCCACACACACCCACCCACACACCCACCCACACACCCACCCACACCGACACACCAACCCACACACCCACCCACACACCCACCCACACCCACACACCCACCCACACACACCCACAAACACCCACACACCCACCCACAAACCCACCCACACACAACAACCCACACACACACCCACAAAAACACCCACACACACACCCACCCACACCCACCCACACAAACCCACCCAACCACACACCCACCCACACACCCACCCACGCACCCACCCACACAAAACCACCCACCCACACACACCCACACAAACCCACCCACCCACACACCCACCCACATACACCCACCCACACACCCACCCACACCCACCCACCCACACACCCACCCTCACACCAACCAACACACCCACACACACACCCACCCACACACCCACACACCCACCCACACCCACACACCCACCCACACACACCCACCCACCCACACACCCACCCACACACCCACCCACACACACACCCACCCACACACCAACCCACACACCCACCCACACACCCACCCACCCACCCACACCCACCCACACAACCACCCACCCACACACACCCACACACCCACCCACCCACACACACCCACCCACACAAACCCACCCACCCACACAAACCCACCCACACACCCACCCACACACACCCACCCACACACCCACCCACACACCCACCCAAACACCCACTCACACACACCCACACACCCACCCACCCACCCACACACCCACCCACCCACACCCACCCACCCACACCCACCCACACAAACCCACCCACCCACACACCCACCCACACACACCCACCCACACACCCACCCACACCCACACACCAGCCCACACACCCACCCACACACCCACCCACACCCACACACCCAACCACACACACCCACCCACACACCCACCCACACACCCACCCACACACCCACCCACCCACACACCCACCCACCCACACCCACCCACACAAACCCACCCACCCACACACCCACCCACACACACCCACCCACACAAACCCACCCACCCACACACCCACCCACACAAACCCACCCACCCACACACCCACACAAACCCACCCACCCACCCACACACCCACCCACACACCAACCAACATAACCCACCCACACATCCACCCACACACCCACCCACACACCCACCCACACCCACACATTCACCCATACACACCCACCCACCCACACCCACCCACCCACACCCACCCACACAAACCCACCCACCCACCCACCCACCCACACACACCCACCCACACACCCACCCACACACACCCACCCACACACCCACCCACACACCCACCCAAACACCCACTCACACACACACCCACACACCCACCCACACACCCACCCACACACCCACCCACACACCCACCCACACACACCCACCCACCCACACCCACCCACCCACACCCACCCACACAAACCCACCCACCCACACACCCACCCACACACACCCACCCACACACCCACCCACACACCCACCCACACCCACACACCAACCCACACACCCACCCACACACCCACCCACACCCACACACCCACCCACACACACACCCACACACCCACCCACACACCCACCCACCCACACACCCACCCACACCCACCCACACAAACCCACCCACCCACACACCCACCCACCCACCCACACAAACCCAACCACCCACACACCCACCCACCCACCCACCCACACCACACACCCACCCACCCACACAAACCCAACCACCCACACACCCACCCACACACACCCACACACACCCACACAAACCCACCCACCCACACACCCACCCACACAAACCCACCCACACAAACCCACCCACACACCCACCCACACCCACCCACACAAACCCACCCACCCACACACCAAACCCACCCACCCACACACCCACCCACACACCAACCAACACACCCACCCACACATCCACCCACACAAACCCACCCACACACCCACACACCCACCCACACACCCACACACCCACCCACACACACCCACACAAACCCACCCACCCACACACCCACCCACACACCCACCCACACCCACCCACCCACACAAACCCACCCACACACCCACACACCCACCCACACACCCACCCACACACACACCCACACACACAACCACACCCACACACAAACCCACCCACCCACACACCCACCCACTCACCCACCGACTCACCCACCCACCCACTCACCCACCCACTCACCCACCCACCCACCCACTCACTCACCCACTCACTCATTCACCCACTCACTCACTCACCCACTCACTCACTCACCCACCCACTCACTCACCCACCCACACACCCACCCACTCACCCACCCACTCACCCACCCACCCACCCACCCACACCCCCCCACACCACAGCCCACCCACCCACCCCACCCACCCCTCCACCAACCCACCAGCCACTCCACGATGCTTCACCACCAGCACTGCGGATTGCCCTCTGCTGCCCTGAAGCATGGCTTCAACACTGACAACAACCACCAAAACCACCACAACAACAACCACAACAACAACAACCACAACCACCACAACAACAACCACCACCACAGCCACCACCTGCTGCTCCTGCTGCTCCTCCTGATGCCCGCCGTGCCCCTGGCCACCGCCTCTACTGCCTCTACCGCCTCGGGCCTGGGATTTCCCCGCTACGACGGAGTGGACCGGGTCCTGGACCTGTCGGCTCGCAACTACAAATCGGCCTTGAGCTCGCACGCTGCACTTGGAGTCCTCCTGCACCACCCGCTGGAGGCCGGGGACCCCGTGGCGGCCAAGCAGCACGCCATGACGGAGCTGGTGCTGGAGGTGACGTTATACACTACATTATATACTACACTATACACTATACACTACATTATATACTACAGTAGACATTACTACACTATACTACTACACTACTACACTATAGACTACTACACTACTACACTAAACACTACATTATACACTACATTATACACTACACTATACACTACACTATACACTATATTATATACTACACTATACACTACACTATACACTACATTATACACTATACACTACACTAAGCTGCACCACCCGCTGGAGGCCGGGGACCCCGTGGCGGCCAAGCAGCACGCCATGACGGAGCTGGTGCTGGAGGTGACGTTATAATACATTATATACTACACTATACACTACATTATATACTACAGTAGACATTACTACACTATACTACTACACTACTACACTATAGACTACTACACTACTACACTAAACACTACATTATACACTACATTATACACTACACTATACACTACACTATACACTACATTATACACTATATACTACATTATACACTACTACACTACACTATACACTACTACACTAAGCTGCACCACCCGCTGGAGGCCGGGGACCCCGTGGCGGCCAAGCAGCACGCCATGACGGAGCTGGTGCTGGAGGTGACGTTATAATACATTATATACTACATTATACACTACATTATACACTATACACTACATTATATACTACATTATATACTACACTATACTACTACACTACTACACTATACACTACTACACTACTACACTCTACACTACACTATACTACTACTCTATACACTACACTATACACTACATTATACACTATACACTACATTATACACTACATTATACACTATACACTACACTATACACTACACTAAGCTGCACCACCCGCTGGAGGCCAGGGACCCCGTGGCGGCCAAGCAGCACGCCATGACGGAGCTGGTGCTGGAGGTGACGTTATAATACATTATATACTACATTATACACTACATTATACACTATACACTACACTATACACTACACTAAGCTGCACCACCCGCTGGAGGCCGGGGACCCCGTGGCGGCCAAGCAGCACGCCATGACGGAGCTGGTGCTGGAGGTGACGTTATAATACATTATATACTACATTATACACTATACACTATATTATATACTACATTATATACTACACTAGACATTACTACACTATACTACTACACTACTACACTATAGACTACTACACTACTACACTAAACACTACATTATACACTACATTATACACTACACTATACACTACACTATACACTACATTATACACTATACACTACATTATATACTACACTACTACACTATACACTACACTATACACTACACTAAGCTGCACCACCCGTTGGAGGCCGGGGACCCCGTGGCGGCCAAGCAGCACGCCATGACGGAGCTGGTGCTGGAGGTGACGTTATAATACACTATATACTACATTATACACTATACACTACACTATACACTACATTATATACTACACTAGACATTACTACACTATACTACTACACTACTACACTATACACTACTACACTACTACACTAAACACTACATTATACACTACATTATACACTACACTATACACTACATTATACACTATATACTACATTATACACTATACACTACACTATACACTACACTAAGCTGCACCACCCGCTGGAGGCCGGGGACCCCGTGGCGGCCAAGCAGCACGCCATGACGGAGCTGGTGCTGGAGGTGACGTTATAATACACTATATACTACATTATACACTATACACTACACTATACACTACATTATATACTACACTAGACATTACTACACTATACTACTACACTACTACACTATACACTACTACACTACTACACTAAACACTACATTATACACTACATTATACACTACACTATACACTACATTATACACTATATACTACATTATACACTATACACTACACTATACACTACACTAAGCTGCACCACCCGCTGGAGGCCGGGGACCCCGTGGCGGCCAAGCAGCACGCCATGACGGAGCTGGTGCTGGAGGTGACGTTATAATACACTATATACTACATTATACACTACATTATACACTACATTATACATTATACACTACATTATATACTACACTAGACATTACTACACTATACTACTACACTACTACACTATACACTACTACACTACTACACTATACACTACACACTACACTACATTATACACTATATACTACATTATACACTACTACACTACACTATACACTACTACACTAAGCTGCACCACCCGCTGGAGGCCGGGGACCCCGTGGCGGCCAAGCAGCACGCCATGACGGAGCTGGTGCTGGAGGTGACGTTATAATACATTATATACTACATTATACACTATACACTACATTATATACTACATTATATACTACACTAGACATTACTACACTATACTACTACACTACTACACTATAGACTACTACACTACTACACTAAACACTACATTATACACTACATTATACACTACACTATACACTACACTATACACTACATTATACACTATACACTACATTATATACTACACTACTACACTATACACTACACTATACACTACACTAAGCTGCACCACCCGTTGGAGGCCGGGGACCCCGTGGCGGCCAAGCAGCACGCCATGACGGAGCTGGTGCTGGAGGTGACGTTATAATACACTATATACTACATTATACACTATACACTACACTATACACTACATTATATACTACACTAGACATTACTACACTATACTACTACACTACTACACTATACACTACTACACTACTACACTAAACACTACATTATACACTACATTATACACTACACTATACACTACATTATACACTATATACTACATTATACACTACTACACTACACTATACACTACTACACTAAGCTGCACCACCCGTTGGAGGCCGGGGACCCCGTGGGGGCGAAGCAGCACGCCATGACGGAGCTGGTGCTGGAGGTGACGTTATACACTACATTATATACTACATTATACACTACATTATACACTATACACTACGTTATACACTACTACACTATACATTACTACACTATACTAGTACACTACTACACTACTACACTATACACTACACACTACACTATACACTACACTATACACTACACTATACACTACATTATACACTATATACTACACTATACACTACACTATACACTACATTATACACTACACTATACACTACACTATACACTACTACACTACACACTACACTATACACTACACTATACACTACACTACACACTACACTACACACTACACTATACACTACACTATACACTACACTACACACTACACTATACACTACACTATACACTACACTACACACTACACTATGCTACACCACCCGCTCGTGGCAGGAGACGTCGTGGGGGCCAAGCACACACCTCGTCATGTGAAGAGGTCTGTGTGTCACACACACACAGACACACACACAGACACACACAGACATACACAGACACACACACACACACAGACACACACACAGACACACACAGACACACACAGACACACACACACAGACACACAGACACACACACAGACACACACAGACACACACAGACACACACACACAGACACACAGACACACACACAGAGACACACACAGACACACACACAGACACACACACAGACACACACACAGACACACACAGACACACACACACACAGACACACACACAGACACACACACAGACACACACAGACACACACACACACATACACACACACAGACACACACACAGACACACACACAGACACAAACAGACACAGACACACACACAGACACACACACAGACACACACAGACACACACACACACAGACACACACACAGACACACACACAGACACATACACAGACACAAACAGACACAGACACACACACAGACACACACACAGACACAAACAGACACAGACACACAAACACACAGACACACACACAGACACACACAGACACAGACACACACACAGACACACACACACACAGACACACACACAAACACACACAGACACACACACAGACACACACACAGACACACACAGACACACACACAGACACACACACAGACACACACACACACAGACACACACACAGACACACACACAGACACACACACACACACAGACACACACACAGACACACACAGACACACACACAGACACACACACAGACACACACACAGACACACACAGACACACACACAGACACACACAGACACACACACACAGACACACACAGACACACACAGACACACACAGATACACACAGACACCACTCACCCCCAGTAACAACTAGCAGGCTGTAGGGGCAAGTGCTGTCACACACAGACACACAGACACACACAGACACACACACAGACACACACACAGACACACACACAGACACACACACAGACACACACAGACACCACTCACCCCCAGTAACAACTTGCAGGATGTAGAGGCAAGTCCTGTCACACACAGACACACAGACACACACAGACACACACAGACACCACTCACCCCCAGTAACAACTAGCAGGCTGTAGGGGCAAGTGCTGTCACACACAGACACACACAGACACCACTCACCCCCAGTAGTATCTTGCAGGCTGTAGGGGCAAGTGCTGTTACACACAGACACACAGACACACACAGACACACACACAGACACACACAGACACCACTCACCCCCAGTAACAACTTGCAGGCTGTAGAGACACACACGTGACACACACACACACGTGACACATACACACAGACACGTGACACACAGACACGTGACACACACACACACACGTGACACACACACACACAGACACGTGACACACACACACGTGACACACACACACGTGACACACACACACACAGACACGTGACACACACACACACACGTGACACACACACAGACACGTGACACACACACACACACACGTGACACACACACACAGACACGTGACACACACACGTGACACTCACACACACAGACACGTGACACACACACACGTGACACACACAGACACGTGACACACACACACAGACACGTGACACAGACACACACGTGACACACACACACGTGACACACGTGACACGTGACCCCTGTGTGACCCCTGTGTGACCCCTGTGTGACCCTTCTGTGACCCCTGTGTGACCCCTAGATGGCGGCTCAGGTGCTGGAGGCAAGGGGCGTGACACAGACACACAGACACGTGACACACACACACGTGACACACACACACACACACACGTGACACGTGACCCCTGTGTGACCCCTGTGTGACCCCTAGATGGCGGCTCAGGTCCTGGAGGCAAGGGGCGTGGCACACACACACACGTGACACACACACACGTGACACACAGACACGTGACACACACACACGTGACACACAGACACGTGACACACACACGTGACACACACACACACAGACACGTGACACACACACACACACACGTGACACACACGTGACACACACACACGTGACACACACACACGTGACACACACACACGTGACACACACACACACGTGACACACACACAGACACGTGACACGTGACCCCTGTGTGACCCCTGTGTGACCCCTGTGTGACCCCTGTGTGACCCCCAGATGGCGGCTCAGGTGCTGGAGGCAAGGGGCGTGGCACAGACACACACACACGTGACACACACGTGACACACACACAGACACGTGACACACACAGACACACAGACACGTGACACACAGACAGACAGACACGTGACACGTGACCCCTGTGTGACCCCTGTGTGACCCCTCCCACGTGACCCCTAGATGGCGGCTCAGGTGCTGGAGGCAAGGGGCGTGACACACACACACACACAGACACGTGACACACACACACACGTGACACACACACACACGTGACACACACACACACGTGACACACACACGTGACACACACACACACAGACACGTGACACACACACGTGACACACGTGACATGTGACCCCTGTGTGACCCCTGTGTGACCCCTGTGTGACCCCTAGATGGCGGCTCAGGTGCTGGAGGCAAGGGGCGTGACACACACACACGTGACACACGTGACACACACGTGACACGTGACACACACACACAGACACGTGACACACAGAGACACACACACACGTGACACGTGACCCCTGTGTGACCCCTCCCACGTGACCCCTAGATGGCGGCTCAGGTGCTGGAGGCAAGGGGCGTGACACACACACACAGACACGTGACACGTGACCCCTGTGTGACCCCTGTGTGACCCCTGTGTGACCCCTGTGTGACCCCTGTGTGACCCCTAGATGGCGGCTCAGGTGCTGGAGGCAAGGGGCGTGACACACACACACGTGACACACACAGACACACGTGACCCCTGTGTGACCCCTGTGTGACCCCTGTGTGACCCCCAGATGGCGGCCCAGGTGCTGGAGGCAAGGGGCGTGACACAGACACACAGACACGTGACACGTGACCCCTGTGTGACCCCTGTGTGACCCCTGTGTGACCCCTGTGTGACCCCTGTGTGACCCCTAGATGGCGGCTCAGGTGCTGGAGGCAAGGGGCGTGACACACACACACGTGACACACACAGACACACGTGACCCCTGTGTGACCCCTGTGTGACCCCTGTGTGACCCCCAGATGGCGGCCCAGGTGCTGGAGGCAAGGGGCGTGACACACACACACGTGACACACACAGACACACGTGACCCCTGTGTGACCCCTGTGTGACCCCTGTGTGACCCCCAGATGGCGGCCCAGGTGCTGGAGGCAAGGGGCGTGACACAGACACACACGTGACCCCTGTGTGACCCCTGTGTGACCCCTGTGTGACCCCTGTGTGACCCCCAGATGGCGGCCCAGGTGCTGGAGGCAAGGGGCGTGACACAGACACACACGTGACCCCTGTGTGACCCCTGTGTGACCCCTGTGTGACCCCTGTGTGACCCCCAGATGGCGGCCCAGGTGCTGGAGGCAAGGGGCGTGGCCTTCGCGTTGCTGGACGCGGAGGACGACAAAAAGGTGGCACGCAAACTGGGTGAGTTACCACAAATAGTTACTAGTTAGTGATAGTTAGTACTAACTAGTACTAACTAGTAACTAGTAGTAACTAGTACTAACTAGTACTAAAGGTGGCACGCAAACTGGATGAGTTACCACAACTAGTTACTAGTTAGTGATAGTTAGTGATAGTTAGTACTAACTAGTAGTAACTAGTAACTAGTAGTAACTAGTACTAAAGGTGGCACGCAAACTGGGTGAGTTACCACAACTAGTTACTAGTTAGTACTAGTTAGTAGTAGTTAGTACTAACTAGTAGTAACTAGTAGTAACTAGTACTAACTAGTAACTAGTACTAACTAGTAACTAGTACTAACTAGTAACTAGTACTAACTAGTAACTAGTACTAAAGGTGGCACGCAAACTGGGTGAGTTACCACAACTAGTACTAGTTAGTACTAGTTAGTACTAACTAGTACTAACTAGTAGTAACTAGTAACTAGTACTAACTAGTTACTACAAACTGGGTGAGTTACCACGAATAGTTACTAGTTAGTACTAGTTAGTATTAACTAGTAGTAACTAGTAACTAGTACTAACTAGTTACTACAAACTGGGTGAGTTACCACGAATAGTTACTAGTTAGTACTAGTTAGTATTAACTAGTAGTAACTAGTAGTAACTAGTAGTAACTAGTAACTAGTACTAACTAGTTACTACAAACTGGGTGAGTTACCACAACTAGTTAGTGATAGTTAGTGATAGTTAGTACTAGTTAGTACTAACTAGTACTAACTAGTACTAACTAGTAACTAGTACTAAAGGTGGCACGCAAACTGGGTGAGTTACCACAACTAACTAGTACTAGTTAGTACTAACTAGTAGTAACTAGTAGTAGTTAGTACTAACTAGTAGTAACTAGTACTAACTAGTAACTAGTACTAACTAGTTACTACAAACTGGGTGAGTTACCACAACTAGTTACTAGTTAGTACTAGTTAGTACTAACTAGTAGTAACTAGTAGTTAGTACTAACTAGTAACTAGTACTAACTAGTAACTACAAACTGGGTGAGTTACCACAACTAGTTAGTGATAGTTAGTGATAGTTAGTACTAGTTAATACTAACTAGTACTAACTAGTACTAACTAGTAACTAGTACTAAAGGTGGCACGCAAACTGGGTGAGTTACCACAACTAACTAGTACTAGTTAGTACTAACTAGTAGTAACTAGTAGTAGTTAGTACTAACTAGTAGTAACTAGTACTAACTAGTAACTAGTACTAACTAGTTACTACAAACTGGGTGAGTTACCACAACTAGTTACTAACTAGTACTAACTAGTACTAACTAGTACTAACTAGTAGTAACTAGTAACTAGTACTAAAGGTGGCACGCAAACTGGGTGAGTTACCACAACTAGTTAGTGATAGTTAGTATTAGTTAGTAGTGTTAACTAGTACTAGTTAGTACTAGTTAGTACTAACTAGTACTAACTAGTACTAACTAGTTACTACAAACTGGGTGAGTTACCACGAATAGTACTAGTTAGTACTAGTTAGTACTAACTAGTTACTACAAACTGGGTGAGTTACCACGAATAGTACTAGTTAGTACTAGTTAGTACTAACTAGTAACTAGTACTAACTAGTTACTACAAACTGGGTGAGTAACCACAACTAGTTAGTGATAGTTAGTACTAGTTAGTAGTAACTAGTAGTAACTAGTAACTAGTACTAACTAGTTACTACAAACTGGGTGAGTTACCACAACTAGTTAGTGATAGTACTAACTAGTAGTAACTAGTAGTAACTAGTACTAACTAGTAGTAACTAGTAGTAACTAGTAGTAACTAGTAGTAACTAGTACTAGTTAGTACTAGTTAGTACTAACTAGTACTAACTAGTAGTAACTAGTAGTAACTAGTAACTAGTACTAAAGGTGGCACGCAAACTGGGTGAGTTACCACAAATACTACTAGTTAGTACTAGTTAGTACTAACTAGTAGTAACTAGTAGTTAGTACTAACTAGTTACTACTAGTACTAAAGGTGGCACGCAAACTGGGTGAGTTACCACAACTAGTTAGTGATAGTTAGTGATAGTTAGTGTTAACTAGTACTAACTAGTAGTAACTAGTAACTAGTAGTAACTAGTACTAACTAGTACTAAAGGTGGCACGCAAACTGGGTGAGTTACCACAAATAGTTAGTGATAGTTAGTGATAGTTAGTACTAGTTAGTACTAACTAGTACTAACTAGTACTAACTAGTAGTAACTAGTTACTACAAACTGGGTGAGTTACCACAAATAGTTAGTGATAGTTAGTACTAACTAGTATTAACTAGTAGTAGTTAGTACTAACTAGTAGTAACTAGTTACTACAAACTGGGTGAGTTACCACAAATAGTACTAGTTAGTACTAGTTAGTACTAACTAGTAGTAACTAGTAGTAACTAGTAACTAGTACTAACTAGTTACTACAAACTGGGTGAGTTACCACAAATAGTTAGTGATAGTTAGTACTAGTTAGTACTAACTAGTAGTAGTTAGTACTAACTAGTAACTAGTACTAAAGGTGGCACGCAAACTGGGTGAGTTACCACAACTAGTTAGTGATAGTTAGTGATAGTTAGTACTAGTTAGTACTAACTAGTACTAACTAGTAGTAACTAGTAACTAGTAGTAACTAGTACTAACTAGTACTAAAGGTGGCACGCAAACTGGGTGAGTTACCACAAATAGTTAGTGATAGTTAGTGATAGTTAGTACTATTTAGTACTAACTAGTACTAACTAGTACTAACTAGTAGTAACTAGTTACTACAAACTGGGTGAGTTACCACAAATAGTTAGTGATAGTTAGTACTAACTAGTATTAACTAGTAGTAGTTAGTACTAACTAGTAGTAACTAGTTACTACAAACTGGGTGAGTTACCACAAATAGTACTAGTTAGTACTAGTTAGTACTAACTAGTAGTAACTAGTAGTAACTAGTAACTAGTACTAACTAGTTACTACAAACTGGGTGAGTTACCACAAATAGTTAGTGATAGTTAGTACTAGTTAGTACTAACTAGTAGTAGTTAGTACTAACTAGTAACTAGTACTAAAGGTGGCACGCAAACTGGGTGAGTTACCACAACTAGTTAGTACTAGTTAGTATTAACTAGTACTAACTAGTACTAACTAGTAGTAACTAGTAACTAGTACTAAAGGTGGCACGCAAACTGGGTGAGTTACCACAACTAGTTAGTACTAGTGATAGTTAGTACTAGTTAGTGTTAACTAGTAACTATCACTAACTAGTTACTACAAACTGGGTGAGTTACAACAACTAGTTAGTACTAGTTAGTACTAACTAGTACTAACTAGTAGTAACTAGTAACTAGTACTAAAGGTGGCACGCAAACTGGGTGAGTTACCACAACTAGTTAGTACTAGTTAGTACTAGTTAGTACTAGTTAGTACTAACTAGTAGTAACTAGTAACTAGTAGTAACTAGTACTAAAGGTGGCACGCAAACTGGGTGAGTTACCACAAATAGTTAGTACTAGTGATAGTTAGTACTAGTTAGTGTTAACTAGTAACTATCACTAACTAGTTACTACAAACTGGGTGAGTTACCACAAATAGTTAGTACTAGTTAGTACTAGTTAGTACTAACTAGTACTAACTAGTAACTAGTACTAACTAGTAGTAACTAGTAACTAGTACTAACTAGTTACTACAAACTGGGTGAGTTACCACAACTAGTTACTACTAGTTAGTACTAACTAGTACTAACTAGTAGTAACTAGTAGTAACTAGTACTAACTAGTTACTACAAACTGGGTGAGTTACCACAACTAGTTACTAGTTAGTACTAGTTAGTACTAACTAGTAGTAGTTAGTACTAACTAGTACTAACTAGTATTAAAGGTGGCACGCAAACTGGGTGAGTTACCACAACTAGTTAGTGATAGTTAGTACTAACTAGTACTAACTAGTACTAACTAGTACTAACTAGTTGTGGTAACTCACCCAGTTTGTAGTAACTAGTTAGTACTAACTAGTACTAGTTAGTACTAACTAGTACTAGTTAGTACTAACTAGTAGTAACTAGTAACTAGTACTAACTAGTTACTACAAACTGGGTGAGTTACCACAACTAGTTAGTACTAGTTAGTACTAGTTAGTACTAACTAGTACTAACTAGTTACTAGTTAGTACTAGTAACTAGTATTAACTAGTTACTACAAACTGGGTGAGTAACCACAACTAGTTAGTTAGTACTAGTTAGTACTAACTAGTAACTAGTAGTAACTACTAACTAGTACTAAAGGTGGCACGCAAACTGGGTGAGTTACCACAACTAGTACTAGTTAGTACTAGTTAATACTAACTAGTACTAACTAGTACTAAATAGTAGTAACTAGTACTAACTAGTACTAACTAGTAACTAGTAGTAACTAGTACTAAAGGTGGCACGCAAACTGGGTGAGTTACAACAACTAGTTAGTACTAGTTAGTGATAGTTAGTGATAGTTAGTACTAACTAGTAGTAACTAGTAACTAGTACTAACTAGTTACTACAAACTGGGTGAGTTACCACAACTAGTTACTAGTTAGTACTAGTTAGTTAGTACTAGTTAGTAGTGTTAACTAGTACCAACTATCACTAACTAGTTACTACAAACTGGGTGAGTTACCACAACTAGTTAGTGATAGTTGGTACTAGTTAGTACTAGTTAGTACTAACTAGTACTAACTAGTAGTAGTTAGTACTAACTAGTACTAACTAGTATTAAAGGTGGCACGCAAACTGGGTGAGTTACCACAACTAGTTACTAGTTAGTACTAGTTAGTACTAACTAGTACTAACTAGTAGTAGTTAGTACTAACTAGTACTAACTAGTATTAAAGGTGGCACGCAAACTGGGTGAGTTACAACAACTAGTTAGTGATAGTTAGTACTAGTTAGTATTGTTAACTAGTACTAGTTAGTAGTAGTTAGTACTAACTATCACTAACTAGTTACTACAAACTGGGTGAGTAACCACAACTAGTTATAACTAGTTAGTGATAGTTAGTACTAACTAGTAATAACTAGTAGTAACTAGTAACTAGTACTAACTAGTTACTACAAACTGGGTGAGTTACAACAACTAGTTAGTACTAACTAGTACTAGTACTAGTTAGTACTAGTACTAACTATCACTAACTAGTTACTACAAACTGGGTGAGTTACCACAACTAGTACTAGTCAGTACTAGTTAGTAGTAACTACTAACTAGTACTAGTTAGTAGTAGTACTAGTTAGTAGTTACTACTAACTAGTACTAACTAGTTACTACAAACTGGGTGAGTTACAACAACTAGTTATTGATAGTTAGTATTAACTAGTACTAACTAGTAGTAACTAGTAGTAACTAGTAACTAGTACTAACTAGTTACTACAAACTGGGTGAGTTACAACAACTAGTACTAGTTAGTACTAGTACTAGTTAGTACTAACTAGTTACTACAAACTGGGTGAGTTACAACAACTAGTTAGTTAGTACTAGTTAGTACTAGTTAGTACTAACTAGTAGCAGTACTACTAACTAGTACCAGTACTAGTTAGTACTCGTACTAAATATTACTAGCTAGTACTAGTACAAGTTAGTACTATTTAGTACTAGTACTAACTAGTACTAGTACTAGTTAGCACTAGCTAGTACTAGTACAAGTTAGTACTATTTAGTACTAGTACTAACTAGTACTAGTTAGTACTAGTACTAACTAGTACTAGTTAGTACTAGTACTAGTACTAACTAGTTAATACTAGTACTAACTGGTACTAGTACTAACTAGTACTAACTAGTACTAGTTAGTACTAGTACTAGTACTAACTAGTTAATACTAGTACTAACTGGTACTATTACTAACTAGTACTAGTACTAACTAGTACTAGTTAGTACTAGTACTAGTTAGTACTAACTAGTTAATACTAGTACTAACTAGTACTAGTACTAACTAGTACTAGTTAGTACTAGTACTAGTACTAACTAGTTAATACTAGTACTAACTGGTACTAGTACTAACTAGTTAATACTAGTACTAACTAGTACTAGTACTAACTAGTACTAGTTAGTACTAGTACTTACTAGTTAATACTAGTACTAACTAGTACTAGTACTAACTAGTAATAGTTAGTACTAGTACCTGTGTAGGCGTCACTGAAGTGGACAGCGTGACCTCAATGTGACCTCAATGTGACCTCTACGTGACCTCTACATGACCTCTACGTGACCTCTACGTGACCTCTGTGTAGGCGTCACCGAGGTGGACAGCGTGACCTCTGCATGACCTCTACGTGACCTCTACATGGCCTCTGCGTGACCTCTACATGACCTCTACGTGACCTCTACTTGACCTCTACGTGACCTCTACGCGACCTCTACGTGACCTCTGTGTAGGCGTCAAAGAGGTGGACAGTGTGACCTCTACTTGACCTCTACATGACCTATACATGACCTCTGCGTGACCTCTACGTGACTTCTATGTGACCTCTGTGTAGACGTCACGGAGGTGGACAGCGTGACCCCTACATGACCTCTATGTGACCTCTACATGACCTCTGCGTGACCTCTACATGACCTCTGCGTGACCCCTGTGTGACCTCTGTGTAGGCGTCACCGAGGTGGACAGCGTGACCTCTACATGACCTCTACGTGACCTCTACATGACCTCTACATGACTTCTACGTGACCTCTATGTAGACGTCACAGAGGTGGACAGCGTGACCTCTACGTGCCCTCTATATGACCTCTGCGTGACCCCTGTGTGACCTCTGTGTAGGCGTCACCGAGGTCGACAGCGTGACCTCTACGTGACCTCTGCGTGACCCCTGTGTGACCCCTGTGTAGGCGTCACCGAGGTCGACAGCGTGACCTCTGCGTGACCTCTGCGTGACCCCTGTGTGACCCCTGTGTAGGCGTCACCGAGGACGACAGCGTGACCTCTGCGTGACCTCTGCGTGACCCCTGTGTGACCCCTGTGTAGGCGTCACCGAGGTCGACAGCGTGACCCCTGCGTGACCTCTGCATGACCCCTGTGTGACCCCTGTGTAGGCGTCACCGAGGTCGACAGCGTGACCTCTGCGTGACCTCTGCGTGACCCCTGTGTGACCCCTGTGTAGGCGTCACCGAGGTCGACAGCGTGACCCCTGTGTGACCTCTGCGTGACCCCTGTGTGACCCCTGTGTAGGCGTCACCGAGGTCGACAGCGTGACCTCTGCGTGACCTCTGCGTGACCCCTGTTTGACCCCTGTGTAGGCGTCACCGAGGTCGACAGCGTGACCCCTGTGTGACCTCTGCGTGACCCCTGTGTGACCCCTGTGTAGGCGTCACCGAGGTCGACAGCGTGACCTCTGCGTGACCTCTGCGTGACCCCTGTGTGACCCCTGTGTAGGCGTCACCGAGGTCGACAGCGTGACCCCTGCGTGACCTCTGCGTGACCCCTGTGTGACCTCTGCGTGACCCCTGTGTGACCCTGTGTAGGCGTCACCGAGGTCGACAGCGTGACCTCTGCGTGACCTCTGCGTGACCCCTGTGTGACCCCTGTGTAGGCGTCACCGAGGTCGACAGCGTGACCTCTGCGCGACCTCTTCGTGACCCCTGTGTGACCCCTGTGTAGGTGTCACCGAGGTCGACAGCGTGACCTCTGCGTGACCTCTGCGTGACCCCTGTGTGACCTCCGTGTAGGTGTCACCGAGGTCGACAGCATGTTCATCTTCAAGGACGACCACGTGGTGGAGTTTGACGGAGAATTCTCAGCTGACGTCATAGTAGAGTTCATCCTTGATGTGAGGGTTGACTCACTTAGTCACTCACTTAGTCACTCACTTAGTCACTCACTTAGTCACTCACTTAGTCACTCACTTAGTCACTCACTTAGTCACTCACGTAGTCACTTAGTCACTCACTTAGTCACTCACTTAGTCACTTAGTCACTCACTTAGTCACTCACTTAGTCACTCACTTAGTCACCCACTTAGTCACCCACTTAGTCACTCACCCTCTCAGTCACCTCAAGGACGACTACGTGGTGGAGTTTGACGGAGAATTCTCAGCTGATGTCATTGTAGAGTTCATCCTTGATGTGAGGGTTGACTCACTTAGTCACTCACTTAGTCACTCACTTAGTCACTCACTTAGTCACTTAGTCACTCACTTAGTCACTCACTTAGTCACTCACTTAGTCACTCACTTAGTCACTTACTTAGTCACTTAGTCACTCACTTAGTCACTCACTTAGTCACTCACTTAGTCACCCACTTAGTCACTCACTTAGTCACTTAGTCACTTAGTCACTCACTTAGTCACTCACTTAGTCACTCACTTAGTCACTCACTTAGTCACTTAGTCACTCACTTAGTCACTCAGTCACTCACTTAGTCACTTAGTCACTCACTTAGTCACTCACCCTCTCAGTCACCTCAAGGACGACTACGTGGTGGAGTTTGACGGAGAATTCTCAGCTGACGTCATAGTAGAGTTCATACTTGATGTGAGGGTTGACTCACTTAGTCACTCACTTAGTCACTCACTTAGTCACTTAGTCACTTAGTCACTTAGTCACTCACTTAGTCACTCACTTAGTCACCCACTTAGTCACTCACTTAGTCACTCACTTAGTCACTTAATCACTCACTTAGTCACTCACTTAGTCACTCACTTAGTCACTCACTTAGTCACTTAGTCACTTAGTCACTCACTTAGTCACTCACTTAGTCACTTAGTCACTCACTTAGTCACTCACTTAGTCACTTAGTCACTCACTTAGTCACTTACTTAGTCACTTAGTCACTCACTTAGTCACTCACTTAGTCACTCACTTAGTCACCCACTTAGTCACTCACTTAGTCACTTAGTCACTTAGTCATTCACTTAGTCACTCACTTAGTTAGTCACTTAGTAACTCACTTAGTCACTCACTTAGTCACTCACTTAGTCACTCACTTAGTCACTTAATCACTCACTTAGTCACTCACTTAGTCACTCACTTAGTCACTCACTTAGTCACTTAGTCACTTAGTCACTCACTTAGTCACCCACTTAGTCACTTAGTCACTCACTTAGTCACTCACTTAGTCACTTAGTCACTCACTTAGTCACTTACTTAGTCACTTAGTCACTCACTTAGTCACTCACTTAGTCACTCACTTAGTCACCCACTTAGTCACTCACTTAGTCACTTAGTCACTTAGTCATTCACTTAGTCACTCACTTAGTTAGTCACTTAGTAACTCACTTAGTCACTCACTTAGTCACTCACTTAGTCACTCACTTAGTCACTTAATCACTCACTTAGTCACTCACTTAGTCACTCACTTAGTCACTCACTTAGTCACTTAGTCACTCACTTAGTCACCCACTTAGTCACTTAGTCACTCACTTAGTCACTCACTTAGTCACTTAGTCACTCACTTAGTCACTCACTTAGTCACTCACTTAGTCACTCACTTAGTCACTACCCTCTCAGTCACCTCAAGGACGACCACGTGGTGGAGTTTGATGGAGAATTCTCAGCTGATGTCATCATAGAGTTCATCCTTGATGTGAAGGTTGACTCACTTAGTCACTCACTTAGTCACTCACTTAGTCACTCACTTAGTCACTCACTTAGTCACTTAGTCACTCACTTAGTTACTTAGTCACTCACTCAGTCACTCACTTAGTCACTCACTTAGTCAATCACTTAGTCACTCACTTAGTCACTTAGTCACTCACTTAGTCACTCACTTAGTCACTCACTTAGTCATTTAGTCACTCACTTGGTCACTTAGTCACTCACTTAGTCACTCACTTAGTCACTTAGTCACTTACTTAGTCAATTACTTAGTCACTCACTTAGTCACTCACTTAGTCACTTACTTAGTCACTCACTTAGTCACTCACTTAGTCACTCACTTAGTCACTTAGTCACTCACTTAGTCACTCACTTAGTCACTCACTTAGTCACTCACTTAGTCACTTAGTCACTCACTTAGTCACTCACTTAGTCACTTACTTAGTCACTTAGTCACTCACTTAGTCACTTAGTCACTCACTTAGTCACTCACTTAGTCACTCACTTAGTCACTCACTTAGTCACTTAGTCACTCACTTAGTCACTCACCCTCTCAGTCACCTCAAGGACGACTACGTGGTGGAGTTTGACGGAGAATTCTCAGCTGACGTCATTATAGAGTTCATCCTTGATGTGAGGGTTGACTCACTTAGTCACTCACTTAGTCACTCACTTAGTCACTTAGTCACTTAGTCACTCACTTAGTCACTCACTTAGTCACTTAGTCACTCACTTAATCACTCACTTAGTCACTCACTTAGTCACTCACTTAGTCACTCACTTACTCACTTAGTCACTAACTTAATCACTCACTTAGTCACTCACTTAGTCACTCACTTAGTCACTCACTTAGTAACTTAGTCACTCACTTAATCACTCACTTAGTCACTCACTTAGTCACTCACTTAGTCACTCACTTACTCACTTAGTCACTCACTTAGTCACTCACTTAGTCACTTAGTCACTCACTTACTCACTTAGTCACTCACTTAGTCACTCACTTAGTCACTCACTTAGTCACTTTGTCACTCACTTAGTTACTCACTTAGTCACTCACTTAGTCACTCACTTAGTCACTCACTTAGTCACTTAGTCACTCACTTGGTCACTCACTTAGTCACTCACTTAGTCACTTAGTCACTCACTTAGTCACTCACTTAGTCACTCACTTAGTCACTTAGTCACTCACTTAGTCACTCACTTAGTCACTTAGTCACTCACTTAGTCACTCACTTAGTCACTCACTTAGTCACTCACTTAGTAACTTAGTCACTCACTTAGTCACTTACATAGTCACTCACTTAGTCACTCACTTAGTCACTTAGTCACTCACTTAGTCAATCACTTAGTCACTCACTTAGTCACTTAGTAACTCACTTAGTCACTCACTTAGTCACTTAGTCACTCACTTAGTCACTCACTTAGTCACTTAGTCACTTAGTCACTCACTTAGTCACTTAGTCACTCACTTAGTCACTTAGTCACTCACTTAGCCACTCACTTAATCACTTAGTCACTCACTTAGTCACTTAATCACTCACTTAGGCACTCACTTAGTCACTTAGTCACTTAGTCACTCATACACTTAGTCACTCACTTAGTCATTTAGTCACTCACTTAGTCACTCACTTAGTCACTCACTTAGTCACTTAGACACTCACTTAGTCACTTAGTCACTCACTTAGTCACTTAGTCACTCACTCAGTCACTCACTTAGTCACTCACTTAGTCACTCATTTAGTCACTTAGTCACTCACATAGTCACTCACTTAGTCACCCACTCATACACTCACACACCCACTCACTCACACACTCATTCACTCACACACTCACTCACACACTCACTCAGTCAGTCAGTCACTCACTCACCCACTCACTCAGTCACTTAGTCACTCACTTAGTCACTCACTTAGTCACTCACTGACTCACTCACTCAGTCACTTAGTCACTCATACACTCACTCACTCAGTCACTCACTTCATCAGTCAGTCACTCACTGACTTGCTCTCTTAGTCACTTAGTCACTCACTCAGTCACTCACTCACTCACTCACTTAGTCACTCACTAAGTCACTTAGTCACTCACTTAGTCACTTACTCACTCACTCACTTAGTCACTCACTTAGTCACTCACTCATACACTCACTCACTCATTCAGTAACTCATACACTCACTCACTGACTCACTCACTGACTCACCCACTCACTCACTCATTGACTCACTCACTCACCCACTGACTCACCCACTGACTCACTCACTGACTCACTCACTCACTGACTCACTCACTGACTCACCCACTCACTCACTCATTGACTCACTCACTCACCCACTCACTCACCCACTCACTTACTCATTGACTCACTCACTCCATGGTGATATCTCCATGGTGACGATGATGATATCTCCATGGTGATATCTCCATGGTGACGATGATGATATCTCCATGGTGATATCTCCATGGTGACAATGCCATCATCTCCATGGTGACGGTATCTCCAAGTGATGATATCTCCATGGTGATGATAACGATATCTCCATGGCGATATCTCCATGGTGATAACGGTTCCATCGCCATGGTGACGGTATCTCCATGGTGACGATGACGATATCTCCATGGTGACGGTGACCCCGTTTCCATGGCAACAGCTGCTGGAGGACCCCGTGGAGATGCTGACGGGCGACGCTGAGCTGAGGGCCTTTCACTCCGTGGACGAGATCCCAAAAGTGGCTGGCTACTTCAAGAACGACCAGTCAGAGCGTGAGTCACTCGCTAAGTCACCCAGTCAGTCACCCAGTCAGTCACTCAGTCAGTCACTCAGTCACCCAGTCACCCAGTCACTCACTCAGTCACTCAGTCACTCACTGAGGGCCTTTCACTCCGTGGACGAGATCCCCAAAGTGGCTGGATACTTCAAGAACGACCAGTCAGAGCGTAAGTCACTCAGTCAGTCACCCAGTTAGTCACTCAGTTACTCACTCAGTCACTCACTCAGTCAGTCAGTCACCCACTCAGTCACTCAGTCACTCACTCAGTCACTCAGTCACTCACTGAGGGCCTTTCACTCCGTGGACGAGATCCCCAAAGTGGCTGGCTACTTCAAGAACGACCAGTCAGAGCGTGAGTCACTCGCTAAGTCACCCAGTCAGTCACCCAGTCACTCACTCAGTCACTCACTCAGTCACTCAGTCACTCAGTCAGTCACTCAGTCACTCACTCACTCACTCAGTCACTCACTCAGTCACTCAGTCACTCAGTCACTCACTCAGTCACTCAGTCACTCACTGAGGGCCTTTCACTCCGTGGACGAGATCCCAAAAGTGGCTGGATACTTCAAGAACGACCAGTCAGAGCGTAAGTCACTCAGTCAGTCACTCAGTCACTCACTCACTCAGTCAGTCACTCACTCAGTCACTCAGTCACTCACTCAGTCAGTCACTCAGTCACTCACTGAGGGCCTTTCACTCCGTGGACGCGATCCCAAAGTGGCTGGCTACTTCAAGAACGACCAGTCAGAGCGTAAGTCACTCAGTTAGTCACTCAGTCAGTCACTCAGTCAGTCACTCAGTCACTCACTCACTCAGTCAGTCACTCACTCAGTCACTCAGTCACTCACTCAGTCAGTCACTCAGTCACTCACTGAGGGCCTTTCACTCCGTGGACGAGATCCCAAAAGTGGCTGGCTACTTCAAGAACGACCAGTCAGAGCGTAAGTCACTCAGTCACTCAGTCAGTCACTCAGTCACTCAGATAGTCACTCAGTTAGTCACTCAGTCAGTCACTCAGTCACTCAGTCACTCACTGAGGGCCTTTCACTCCGTGGACGAGATCCCAAAAGTGGCTGGCTACTTCAAGAACGACCAGTCAGAGCGTGAGTCACTCGCTAAGTCACCCAGTCAGTCACCCAGTCACTCACTCAGTCACTCACTCAGTCAGTCAGTCACCCACTCAGTCACTCAGTCACTCACTCAGTCACTCAGTCACTCACTGAGGGCCTTTCACTCCGTGGACGAGATCCCAAAAGTGGCTGGCTACTTCAAGAACGACCAGTCAGAGCGTAAGTCACTCAGTCAGTCACTCAGTCAGTCACTCAGTCAGTCACTCAGTCACTCAGTCACTCAGTCAGTCACCCACTCAGTCACTCAGTCACTCACTCAGTCACTCAGTCACTCACTGAGGGCCTTTCACTCCGTGGACGAGATCTCAAAAGTGGCTGGCTACTTCAAGAACGACCAGTCAGAGCGTAAGTCACTCAGTCACTCAGTCAGTCACCCAGTTAGTCACTCAGTCAGTCACTCAATCAGTCACTCACTCAGTCAGTCAGTCACTCAGTCACTCACTGAGGGCCTTTCACTCCGTGGACGAGATCCCCAAAGTGGCTGGCTACTTCAAGAACAACCAGTCAGAGCGTAAGTCACTCAGTCAGTCACTCAGTCAGTCACCCAGTCAGTCACTCAGTCACTCAGTCAGTCACCCAGTCACCCAGTCACTCACTGAGGGCGTTTCACTCCGTGGACGTGATCCCAAAAGTGGCTGGCTACTTCAAGAACGACCAGTCAGAGCGTAAGTCATTCAGTCAGTCACTCAGTCACTCAGATAGTCACTCAGTTAGTCACTCAGTCAGTCACTCAGTCAGTCACTCACTCACTGCGGGCCTTTCACTCCGTGGACGAGATCCCCAAAGTGGCTGGCTACTTCAAGAACGACCAGTCAGAGCGTAAGTCACTCAGTTAGTCACCCAGTCAGTCACCCAGTCAGTCACCCAGTCAGTCACTCAGTTAGTCACTCAGTCAGTCACTCAGTCAGTCACTCACTCAGTCAGTCAGTCACTCACTGAGGGCGTTTCACTCTGTGGACGAGATCCCCAAAGTGGCTGGCTACTTCAAGAACGACCAGTCAGAGCGTAAGTCAGTCAGTTAGTCACTCAGTAAGTCACCCAGTCACTCACTCAGTCAGTCACTCAGTCAGTCACTCACTCAGTCAGTCACTCAGTCACTCACTCACTCACTCAGTCACTCAGTGACTCACTCAGTCACTCACTCACTCAGTCAGTCAGTCACTCAGTCACTCACTCAGTCACTCACTCAGTCAGTCACCCACTCAGTCAATCACTCACTCACTCAGTCGCTCAGTCACTCACTCACTCAGTCAGTCAGTCACTCAGTCAGTCACTCACTCAGTCACTCACTCAGTCACTCACTCAGTCACTCACTCACTCACTCAGTCACTCAGTCACTCACTCAGTCACTCACTCACTCACTCAGTCAGTCACTCACTCAGTCACTCACTCAGTCACTCACTGAGGGCGTTTCACTCCGTGGACGAGATCCCCAAAGTGGCTGGCTACTTCAAGAACGACCAGTCAGAGCGTAAGTCAGTCAGTTAGTCACCCAGTCACTCACTCAGTCAGTCACTCAGTCAGTCAGTCACTCAGTCACTCAGTCAGTCAGTCACTCAGTCACTCACTCACTCACTCAGTCACTCACTCACTCAGTCACTCAGTCACTCACTCACTCAGTCAGTCACTCACTCAGTCACTCACTCAGTCGGTCACTCAGTCACTCACTCAGTCACTCACTCAGTCAGTCACCCGCTCAGTCAATCACTCACTCACTCAGTCGCTCAGTCACTCACTCACTCAGTCAGTCAGTCACTCAGTCAGTCACTCACTCAGTCACTCACTCAGTCACTCACTCACTCACTCAGTCACTCAGTCACTCACTCAGTCACTCACTCACTCAGTCAGTCAGTCACTCACTCACTCACTCAGTCAGTCACTCAGTCAGTCAGTCACTCACTCACTGAGGGCGTTTCACTCCGTGGACGAGATCCCCAAAGTGGCTGGCTACTTCAAGAACGACCAGTCAGAGCGTGAGTCACTCAGTCACTCAGTCAGTCACCCAGTTAGTCACTCAGTCAGTCACTCAATCAGTCACTCAGTCAGTCACTCAGTCACTCACTGAGGGCTTTTCACTCCGTGGACGAGATCCCCAAAGTGGCTGGATACTTCAAGAACGACCAGTCAGAGCGTAAGTCACTCAGTTAGTCACTCAGTCAGTCACCCAGTCAGTCACTCAATCAGTCACTCACTCAGTCACTCAGTCAGTCACTCAGTCACTCACTGAGGGCCTTTCACTCCGTGGACGAGATCCCAAAAGTGGCTGGATACTTCAAGAACGACCAGTCAGAGCGTAAGTCACTCAGTTAGTCACTCAGTCACTCAGTCACTCAGATAGTCACTCAGTTAGTCACTCAGTCAGTCACTCAGTCACTCAGTCACTCACTGAGGGCCTTTCACTCTGTGGACGAGATCCCAAAAGTGGCTGGCTACTTCAAGAACGACCAGTCAGAGCGTAAGTCACTCAGTCACTCAGTCAGTCACTCAGTCACTCAGATAGTCACTCAGTTAGTCACTCAGTCAGTCACTCAGTCACTCAGTCACTCACTGAGGGCCTTTCACTCCGTGGACGAGATCCCCAAAGTGGCTGGCTACTTCAAGAACGACCAGTCAGAGCGTAAGTCACTCAGTCAGTCACTCAGTCACTCACTCAGTCACTCAGTCACTCACTCAGTCAGTCACCCAGTCAGTCACTCAGTCACTCAGTCACTCACTGAGGGCCTTTCACTCCGTGGACGAGATCCCAAAAGTGGCTGGCTACTTCAAGAACGACCAGTCAGAGCGTAAGTCACTCAGTCAGTCACTCAGTCAGTCACCCAGTCAGTCACTCAGTCACTCAGTCAGTCACCCAGTCACTCACTGAGGGCGTTTCACTCCGTGGACGAGATCTCAAAAGTGGCTGGCTACTTCAAGAACGACCAGTCAGAGCGTAAGTCACTCAGTTAGTCACTCAGTCACTCAGATAGTCACTCAGTTAGTCACTCAGTCAGTCACTCAGTCACCCAGTCACTCACTGAGGGCCTTTCACTCCGTGGACGAGATCCCAAAAGTGGCTGGCTACTTCAAGAACGACCAGTCAGAGCGTGAGTCACTCGCTAAGTCACCCAGTCAGTCACACAGTTAGTCACTCAGTCAGTCACTCAGTCACTCAGTCAGTCACTCAGTCAGTCACTCACTCACTGAGGGCCTTTCACTCCGTGGACGAGATCCCCAAAGTGGCTGGCTACTTCAAGAACGACCAGTCAGAGCGTGAGTCACTCAGTCACTCAGTCAGTCACCCAGTTAGTCACTCAGTCAGTCACTCAATCAGTCACTCAGTCAGTCACTCAGTCACTCACTGAGGGCTTTTCACTCCGTGGACGAGATCCCAAAAGTGGCTGGCTACTTCAAGAACGACCAGTCAGAGCGTAAGTCACTCAGTCAGTTAGTCACTCAGTTAGTCACTCAGTCAGTCACTCAGTCACTCAGTCACTCAGTCACTCAGTCACTCACTGAGGGCCTTTCACTCCGTGGACGAGATCCCAAAAGTGGCTGGCTACTTCAAGAACGACCAGTCAGAGCGTAAGTCACTCAGTCAGTTAGTCACTCAGTTAGTCACTCAGTCAGTCACTCAGTCACTCAGTCACTCAGTCACTCAGTCACTCACTGAGGGCGTTTCACTCCGTGGACGAGATCCCAAAAGTGGCTGGCTACTTCAAGAACGACCAGTCAGAGCGTAAGTCACTCAGTCACTCAGTCAGTCACCCAGTTAGTCACCCAGTTAGTCACTCACTCAGTTACTCAGTCACTCACTCAGTCACTCACTCACTCAGTCACTCACTCAGTCACTCAGTCAGTCACTCAGTCACTCACTCAGTCACCTAGTTAGTCACTCAGTCAGTCACCCAGTCACTCACTCACTCAGTCACTCAGTCACTCAGTCAGTCACCCAGTTAGTTACTCAGTCACTCACTGAGGGCGTTTCACTCCGTGGACGAGATCCTCAAAGTGGCTGGCTAATTCAAGAACGACCAGTCAGAGCGTAAGTCACTCAGTGAGTTAGTCACTCAGTCAGTCACTCAGTCAGTCACTCACTCTGTCAGTCACTCAGTCAGTCACTCACTCAGTCAGTCACTCAGTCAGTCACTCACTCAGTCAGTCACTCACTCACCCACTCACTCACCCACTCACCCACTCACTCACCCACCTACTCACCATCTGCTCCCTACAGACTACAAGGCCTATGAAGACGCAGCAAAAGATTTCCAACCGTACATCCCCTTCTACGCTACCTTCGATAAAGCGGTGAGTGGGTGGTGAGCGGGAGGGGTGGGTGGGTGAGTTGGTGGGTAGGTGGGTGAGTGGGTTAGTGGGTGAGTGGGAGGGTGGGTGGGTGGGTGGGGGAGTGGTTGGGTGGGTGGGTGAGTGGGTGGGTGAGTGGGTGGGTGAGTGGGTGGATGAGTAGGTGGATGAGTGGGTGGGTGAGTGGGTGGGTGGATGAGTGGGTTGGTGAGTGGGAGGATGGGTGGGTGGGTGAGTGGGTTGGTGGGTGAGTGGTTGGGTGAGTTGGTGGGTGGTTGGGTGGGAGAGTGAGTGGGTGAGTGGGTGGGTGAGTGGGTGGGTGAGTGGGTGGGTGAGTAGGTGGGTGAGTGGGTGGGTGAGTGGGTGGGTGGATGAGTGGGGGAGTGGGTGGGTGGTTGGGTGGGTGGGTGCATGAGTGGGTGGGTGGGTGGTTGGGTGGGTGGGTGGGTGAGTGGGTGGGAGAGTAGGTGGATGAGTAGGTGGATGAGTGGGTGGGTGAGTGGGTGGGTGGATGAGTGGGTTGGTGGGTGAGTGGTTGGGTGAGTTGGTGGGTGGTTGGGTGGGTGAGTGAGTGGGTGAGTGGGTGGGTGAGTGGGTGGGTGAGTGGGTGGGTGAGTAGGTGGGTGAGTGGGTGGGTGAGTGGGTGGGTGGATGAGTGGGGGAGTGGGTGGGTGGTTGGGTGGGTGGGTGCATGAGTGGGTGGGTGGGTGGTTGGGTGGGTGGGTGGGTGAGTGGGTGGGAGAGTAGGTGGATGAGTAGGTGGATGAGTGGGTGGGTGAGTGGGTGGGTGGGTGAGTGGGTTGGTGGGTGAGTGGTTGGGTGAGTTGGTGGGTGGTTGGGTGGGTGAGTGAGTGGGTGAGTGGGTGGGTGAGTGGGTGGGTGAGTGGGTGGGTGAGTAGGTGGGTGAGTGGGTGGGTGAGTGGGTGGTGGATGAGTGGGGGAGTGGGTGGGTGGTTGGGTGGGTGGGTGCATGAGTGGGTGGGTGGTTGGGTGGGTGGGTGGGTGAGTGGGTGGGTGAGTGGATGAGTAGTTCGAGACTGCCAAACAACAGGCAGTGGCTCTTCTGAACAAAAGAATGAAGGGGGTGTGGGAGCGTGGCGGTGAGGTGTGGGAAGCTGTAAGCCCCAGGCTACTTTGGGCTCGCCTTCCCATCAACCGGAGGCGAGGAATGGTGGTCGTGGTTGCTTATGCCCCCACCGAAGACGAACATCCGTGGAGGGATGCAGGCAAGGCCGATGAGTCAGATGCCTTCTATGACCTCCTGTCACAGGTGCTGGCTAAAGTGGCCCCTCGGGATAGAGTAATCTTGTTGGGTGACTTCAATGCCCGAGTTGGTCATGATGCTGGCACCTGGTCTGGAGTGATTGGAGGGCATGGACCAGATCAGCTCAATAACAACGGTAGGAGGCTGCTAGATTTTTGTGCAGCCCATGGGCTTGTAATTACCAACACACTGTTCCGGCATCGGCGCATCCACACAACATTGTGGATGCATGCCGGGTCCAAGCAAGAACATCTGCTGGACTACATAGTGATGGACCAGCGGATGCGGGCCCATGTCCTTGACACCAGGACCTACCGTGGAGTTGATCTGCCCACTGACCATCGACTTGTCATCTGTAAGATGCGCCTGCCATTCTTCCACTCCGGTGGTGGGTGTACACCCAGGACCCCATTCAAACACATAGTGGCATGGTCTAAGCTAGCTAATGAAAGTTGCAAGTGAGAATTTCATCATCGCCTGCGGCTGGGGTTGGCATCATCCCGACTCCTCCTGATGTCGAGGGTAAATGGGCGACGTTTAGGACTGTGACTCATGCAGCTGCAATGGCTGCTTTGGATGCGCGGTCCAGACCTCCCCAGAGACCCTGGCTGACAGAGGAGGTGTTCAAGCTGGTTGAGAAAAAGCGACAGGCCCACTATCATCGGCTACAGAATCCCACGTCAGAGAATGAGGAGGCTTACCGCAGCCTTCGCTCGGAGGTTCGGAGAGCCGTGAGGCGCTGCAAGGATGGGTGGTGGTCGCGGGTTGCTGAGGAGGTGGAGTCTGCCTCAGTGGCCCGTGATCACAAATCTCTATTTATAGCCATCAAAAAAGTAACCTGCAGGAACAGGTTTGCAGATTTGCTGAGCATTTCGATGAGGTCCTGGGGGAGGGGAAATCCCTCAGCCAGGAAAACATCGTGGCACAAAGTGGGGATGACCCTGCTGAGGCTGCGGTGCCTCAAATATTGGAAGAAGAAGTCACCCCCTGTGAGTGGCTGGCTGAGGTGACATCTGTTGAGGAAGTACTGAAGGCGATCCGGAGTCTGAGACCAGGAAAGGCACCGGGCAGAGATGATCTCCCAAGCGAAATACTGAGGGAGGGTGGCGTTTGTGCACAGACTGCCCTATATGACATCATAACAACGGTCTGGGCCGCTGGACGGGTTCCGCAGGATTGGAAGGATGCCCTGGTGGTCCCCCTCTTTAAGAAGGGGGACCGCACAGACTGTAACAACTACAGGGGCATCTCACTCCTCAGTGTGCCGGGAAAGGTCCTAGCAAGGATTATTCAGCATCGCCTTGCCAGGTACTCTGAGGAGAGGCTTGCGGAGCCCAAATGCGGTTTCAGGAAAGGGCGGTCCTGCACAGATGCCATATTTTCTGTCCGTCTGCTACAGCAGAGGTGTAGGGAATTCCAACAAGACCTACATCTCTGCTTTATTGACCTGGTCAAGGCCTATGATACCATCAGTAGGCCTGGGCTCTGGGTCGTTCTTCGTGCTTTTGGAGTACCTGACTCTCTGCTCACGATCATTAAAGACCTTCATGATGGTGAGCGGGCCCAGGTAAAACTACGTGGCCGGGAGTCGGAGCCATTCCCTGTACACCTTGGGGTGCGACAGGGATGTCCTCTGGCTCCCACATTATTTAACATCTATTTTTGACCACGTAGTTTGTGAAGCCTTCAATAGCTGTACCGGGGGAATCTCCATATGGTACAGATATAATGGGAGGCTGATCGATGCCCGGGTGCGGTCAAGGGATGACTCCCTATTGGTCAACCACGTTATGTATGCTGATGATTTGGTAATAGCTGCTCAGTCAGAGGAGGAGTTGGAGACGCTGCTGCTGAGACTGGAGCGTGCCACTAAGAGGTGGGGCCTTACCATCAGCCCCACCAAAACTAAGCACCTGCCTGGGTATTTTGTACCATCAGACACTCCACCCCCACAACTCCCAATCGGTGATGGGGCAGTTGTTGAGAGAGTGGAGAGTTTCCCATACCTGGGCAGTGTGCTTATGACTGGCTCCAGTTTAACAGCAGAGGTCTCACTCCGAATCAGTCGAGCGGCAAAATCTTTTCATCGGTTGCGTAACGCTGTGTGGAAGCTACCTGGTCTGTCGCTCCGCACTAAGCTTCAGGTCTTCTCGGCCACGGTCATTCCCTCCCTTCTCTACGCTTGCGAAACGTGGACCCCCCTAATGCAACATCTTCGCGGTTAGAAACGTTTAGGCTGGCCTGCCTACGATCCATCCTGGGTTTAACCAGACTGGATTGTGTGAGGAGCTCACAAATCCTTGAAAGATCTGGGCAAAGGTCCCATCGGTGAGCTCCTCCGGCGGGCAAGGCTGCGATGGCTGGGTCATGTAGCCCGCATGCCCAGCCACCGCATGCCGAAACAGCTTTTGTTCGGCCGGATTGAGGGGGCTAAGCGGGCCTGGTACGGGCTAGAGAAGAGATGGAGTGATGTGGTACAGGAGGACGTGGAGCTGAGTGGACTTGCCGATGACTGGTACCAGCGGTGTTAAGATCGGCCTCTGTGGAGGAGGCTCGTCAAGGATGCTACTGGGCAGTTGGAGGCAGTCGCCCTCCAACAACAACGGAGGGCGAAGGAGCGACGCTCACAACAGCGAGCGGAGCGCCGGGTGGCTAAAGCATAGCAGGTTGGCACAGTAGGGGGCACAGGTGGTGCATCAGCCAGTCATCTCAGTGATCTCAGTCAGTCGACCCGTGGCACCTGCTGGGTCTGCCACGTGACCTCCTGCCAGCGGGCGTCCGACACTTCACGTGGCCTCATGGTGCACATAGCCTGGCACAAGCGTCGTGGTGACGTCACCGCCACTTAGTGGCGAATGGCGGTTGTTGTTGTGTCTGTGTGTGTGTGTGTCTGTGTGTACGTGTCTGTGTGTGTCTATGTGTGTCTGTGTGTGTCTATGTGTGTCTGTGTGTGTGTGTCTATGTGTGTGTATATGTGTCTATGTGTGTGTGTCTAAGTAGACTGCTAAGAAGTTGTCTCTCAAGCTGAACGAGGTCAACTTTTATGTCTGTGTGTGTGTCTGTGTGTGTGTGTCTATGTGTGTGTGTGTGTCTATGTGTCTTTGTGTGTGTATGTTTGTGTGTGTCTATGTGTGTCTGTGTGTGTCTGTGTGTGTGTGTGTCTATGTCTATGTGTGTGTGTGTCTATGTGTGTGTGTGTCTGTGTGTCTATGTGTGAGTGTCTATGTGTGTGTGTCTATGTGTGTCTGTGTGTGTCTGTGTGTGTGTCTATGTGTGTGTGTCTATGTGTGTGTGTCTATGTGTGTGTCTATGTGTGTCTATGTGTGTGTGTCTATGTGTCTATGTGCGTGTGTCTAAGTAGACTGCTAAGAAGTTGTCTCTCAAGCTGAACGAGGTCGACTTCTATGTGTGTGTCTGTGTGTGTGTCTATGTGTCTATGTGTGTGTCTATGTGTGTGTGTGTGTCTATGTGTATGTGTCTATGTGTGTGTGTGTCTATGTGTGTGTGTGTCTGTGTGTGTGTGTCTGTGTGTGTGTGTCTATGTGTGTGTCTGTGTGTGTGTGTCTGTATGTGTGTGTGTGTGTCTATGTGTCTATGTGTGTGTGTGTCTGTGTGTCTATGTGTCTATGTGTGTGTGTCTATATGTGTGTGTCTATGTGTCTATGTGTCTATGTGTGTGTGTGTCTGTGTGTGTGTGTCTGTGTGTGTCTATGTGTCTGTGTGTGTGTCTATGTGTGTGTGTATGTGTGTGTGTCTATGTGTGTCTATGTGTGTGTGTGTCTATGTGTGTGTGTCTAAGTAGACTGCTAAGAAGTTGTCTCTCAAGCTGAACGAGGTCGACTTCTATGTGTGTGTCTATGTGTCTATGTGTGTGTGTGTCTATGTGTGTGTGTGTCTATGTGTGTGTGTCTATGTGATTGTGGGTCTATGTGTCTATGTGTGTTTGTCTATGTGTGTGTGTCTATGTGTCTATGTGTGTGTGTCTAAGTAGACTGCTAAGAAGTTGTCTCTCAAGCTGAACGAGGTCGACTTCTATGTGTGTGTGTCTATGTGTGTGTGTCTATGTGTGTGTGTCTATGTGTGTGTGTCTATGTGTGTGTGTGTCTATGTGTGTGTGTCTAAGTAGACTGTTAAGAAGTTGTCTCTCAAGCTGAACGAGGTCGACTTCTATGTGTGTGTGTGTGTCTATGTGTGTGTGTGTCTATGTGTGTGTGTCTATGTGTGTGTCTATGTGTTTGTGTGTATGTCTATGTGTGTCTATGTGTGTGTGTCTATGTGTGTGTGTGTGTCTGTGTCTGTGTGTGTGTCTATGTGTGTGTGTCTGTGTGTGTATGTCTATGTGTGTCTATGTGTGTGTGTCTATGTGTGTCTGTGTGTGTGTGTCTATGTGTGTCTGTGTGTGTGTCTGTGTGTGTGTGTCTGTGTGTGTGTGTCTGTGTGTGTGTCTGTGTGTGTGTCTATGTGTGTGTGTCTGTATGTGTCTGTGTGTCTATGTGTGTGTGTCTATGTGTGTGTGTCTATGTGTGTGTGTCTAAGTAGACTGCTAAGAAGTTGTCTCTCAAGCTGAACGAGGTCGACTTCTATGTGTGTGTCTATGTGTCTGTGTGTCTATGTGTCTATGTGTGTGTGTGTGTCTGTGTTTATGTGTCTATGTGTGTGTGTGTCTGTGTGTGTGTGTCTATGTGTGTGTCTGTGTGTGTGTCTATGTGTATGTGTGTGTCTATGTGTGTGTGTCTGTGTGTGTGTCTATGTGTCTGTGTGTGTGTGTCTATGTGTGTGTGTCTATGTAGACTGCTAAGAAGTTGTCTCTCAAGCTGAACGAGGTCGACTTCTATGTGTTTGTGTGTCTATGTGTGTGTGTCTATGTGTGTGTGTCTATGTGTGTGTGTGTCTGTGTGTCTATGTGTGTGTCTATGTGTGTGTGTCTATGTGTGTCTATGTGTGTGTGTCTATGTGTGTGTGTGTCTGTGTGTGTGTCTGTGTGTGTGTGTCTATGTGTGTGTCTGTGTGTGTGTGTCTGTATGTGTGTGTGTGTCTATGTGTCTGTGTGTGTGTCTATGTGCGTGTGTGTCTATGTGTGTGTGTCTATGTGTGTGTGTCTATGTGTGTGTGTCTATGTGTGTGTGTCTATGTGTCTATGTGTGTTTGTCTATGTGTGTGTGTCTATGTGTCTATGTGTGTGTGTCTAAGTAGACTGCTAAGAAGTTGTCTCTCAAGCTGAACGAGGTCGACTTCTATGTGTGTGTGTCTATGTGTGTGTGTCTATGTGTGTGTGTGTCTATGTGTGTGTCTGTGTGTGTGTGTCTGTATGTGTGTGTGTGTCTATGTGTGTGTGTGTCTATGTGTGTGTGTGTGTCTATGTGTCTATGTCTGTGTGTGTGTCTAAGTAGACTGCTAAGAAGTTGTCTCTCAAGCTGAACGAGGTCGACTTCTATGTGTGTCTGTGTGTGTGTCTGTGTGTGTCTGTGTGTGTGTGTCTATGTATGTGTGTCTATGTGTGTGTGTCTATGTAGACTGCTAAGAAGTTGTCTCTCAAGCTGAACGAGGTCGACTTCTATGTGTGTGTGTATGTGTGTCTGTGTGTCTATGTGTGTGTGTCTATGTGTGTGTGTCTAAGTAGACTGCTAAGAAGTTGTCTCTCAAGCTGAACGAGGTTGACTTCTATGTGTGTGTGTCTATGTGTGTGTCTGTCTATGTGCGTCTATGTGTGTGTGTCTATGTGTGTGTCTATGTGTGTGTGTCTAAGTAGACTGCTAAGAAGTTGTCTCTCAAGCTGAACGAGGTCGACTTCTATATGTGTGTGTGTGTCTGTATGTGTGTGTGTGTCTATGTCTGTGTGTCTATGTGTGTGTGTCTAAGTAGACTGCTAAGAAGTTGTCTCTCAAGCTGAACGAGGTCGACTTCTATGTGTGTGTCTGTGTGTCTATGTGTCTATGTATCTGTATGTGTGTGTGTGTCTATGTGTCTGTGTGTGTGTCTATGTGTGTGTGTCTATGTGTCTATGTGTGTGTGTCTAATTAGACTGCTAAGAAGTTGTCTCTCAAGCTGAACGAGGTCGACTTCTACGTGTGTGTCTGTGTGTGTGTGTGTGTGTCTATGTGTGTGTGTGTGTCTGTGTGTCTATGTGTGTGTGTCTAAGTAGACTGCTAAGAAGTTGTCTCTCAAGCTGAACGAGGTCGACTTCTATGTGTGTGTCTGTGTGTGTGTGTCTGTGTGTGTGTGTGTCTATGTGTGTGTGTGTCTATGTGTGTGTGTCTAAGTAGACTGCTAAGAAGTTGTCTCTCAAGCTGAACGAGGTTGACTTCTATGAGCCCTTCACGTCCAAAGCGGTGTCTATACCGGACAAACCGCACACGGAGGAAGAGCTGGTGGCATTCATTAAGGCCCACCGCAGGTACTCACCTAACCACCCACTCACCTACCCACTCACCTACCCACTCACCTACCCACTCACCTACCCACTCACCGACCCACTCACCTACCCACTCACCCACTCACCTACCCACTCACCTACCCACTCACCTACCCACTCACCTACCCACTCACCGACCCACTCACCTACCCACTCACCCACTCACCTACCCACTCACCTACCCACTCACCTACCCACTCACCTACCCACTCACCGACTTAGTTACTCACCTACTCACCTACCCACTCACCTACTTAGTTACTCACCTACCCACTCACCTACCCACTCACCTACCCACTCACCTACCTAGTCACCTACCCACTCACCTACCCACTCACCTACCCACTCACCTACCCACTCACCTACTCACTCACCTACCCACTCACCTACCCACTCAGCTACTCACTCACCTACCCACTCACCTACCCACTCACCTACCCACTCACCTACCCACTCACCTACACACTCACCTACTCACTCACCTACTCACCTACCCACTCACCTACCCACTCACCTACCCACTCACCTACCTACTCACCTACCCACTCACCTACCCACTCACCTACCCACTCACCTACTTAGTTACTCACCCACTCACGTACCTACTCACCTACTCACCCACTCACCTACTCACCTACTCACCTACCCACTCACCTACCCACTCACCTACTTAGTTACTCACGTACTCACCTACCCACTCACCTACCTACTCACCTACTCACCTACCCACTCACCTACCCACTCACCTACTTAGTTACTCACGCACTCACCTACCCACTCACCTACCCACTCACCTACCCACTCACCTACCCACTCACCTACCCACTCACCTACCCACTCACCTACTTACTCACCTACCCACCTACTCACCTACCCACCCACTCACCTACTCACCTACCCACTCACCTACTCACCTACCCACTCACCTACCTACTCACCCACTCACCTACTCACCCACTCACCTACCCACTCACTCACCTACCCACTCACTCACCTACTCATCTACCCACTCACCTACTGGACAAACCCCACACGGAGGAAGAGCTGGTGGCATTCATTAAGGCCCACCGCAGGTACCCACCTACCCACTCACCTACTTAGTTAGTCACCTACCCACTCACCTACCCACTCACCTAACCACTCACCTACCCACTCACCCACTCACCTACCCACTCACCTACCCACTCACTCACCCACTCACCTACCCACTCACCTACCCACTCACCTACCCACTCACCTACCCACCCACTCACCTATTGACCTACCCACCCACTCACCTACTCACCTACCCACTCACCTACTCACTCACCTACCCACTCACCTACCCACTCACCTACTTAGTTACTCACCTACTTACCTACCCACTCACCTACTTAGTTACTCACCTACTCACCTACCCACTCACCTACCCACTCACCCACTCACCTACCCACTCACCTACTTAGTTACTCACCTACTCACCTACCCACTCACCTACCCACTCACCTACTCACCCACTCACCTACTCACCTACCCACTCACCTACCCAATCACCTACCCACTCACCTACCCACTCACCCACTCACCCACTCACTCATCCACTCACTAACTCACCCACTCACCCACCCACCCATTCACCCACCCACTCACCCACCCACTCACCCACCTACTCACTCACTCACCCACCCACTCACCACTCACTCACCCACTCACTCACCCACTCACTCACCCACTCACCCACTCACCCACCCACCCACCCACTCACCCACCCACTCACCCACTCACCCACTCACTCACTCACTAACTCACCCACTCACCCACCCACCCACCCACTTACCCACCAACCCACCCACTCACCCACCCACCCACTCACTAACTCACCCCCTCACCCACCCACCCACTCACCCACCCACTCACTCACTCACCCACCCACCCACTCACTAACCCACCCACCCACTCACTCACTCACCCACTCACTCACCCACCCACTCACTCACTCACTCACCCACTCACTCACTCACTTACCCACTCACCCACTCACCCACTCACCCACCCACCCACTCACCCACCCACTCACTCACCCACCCACTCACTCAAACACTCACCCACCCACTCACCCACTCACTTACTCACCCACTCACTCACTCACCCACTCACCCCCTCACTCACTCACTCACCCACTCACCCACTCACGCACCCACTCACCCACTCACCCACCCATTCACCCACTCACCCACCCACTCACTCACTAACTCACCCACTCACCCACCCACCCATTTACCCACCCACCCACCCCCTCACCCACCCACCCACTCACTAACTCACCCACTCACCCACCCACCCACTCACCCACCCACTCACCCACTCACCCACCCACCCACTCACCCACCCACCCACCCACTCACTCACTCACCCACCCACCCACTCACTAACCCACCCACTCACTCACTCACCCACTCACTCACCAAGTCACTCACCAAGTCACTCATTCACTCACTCACTCACCCACTCACTCACTCACTCATCCACTCAACCAATCACACACTCACTTACTCACCCACCCACTCACCCACCCACTCATTCAACCACCCACTCACTCACCCACCCACTCACTCACCCACTCACCCACTCACTTACTCATCCACTCACTCACTCACCCACTCACCCCCTCACTCACTCACTCACCCACTCACTCACTCACCCACTCACCCACTCACACACTCACCCACTCACTTACTCACCCACCCAACTCACTCACTCAACCACTCACCCACTCACTCACCCACTCACCCACCCACTCACTCACTCACCCACTCACCCACCCACTCACCCACCAACTCAATCACCCACCCACTCACCCACCCACCCACCCACTCACCCACTCACTTACCCACTCACCCACCCACCCACTCACTCACTCACTCACCCACCCACCCACTCACCCAGCCACTCACTCACCCACTCACCCACTCACTCACTCGCTCACCCTCCCATCCACTCACTCACTCACTAACTCACCCACCCACTAACTCACTCACTCACTCACCCACCCACCCACTCACCCACCCACTCACCCACCCACCCACTCACCCACCCACCCACCCACTCACTCACTCACCCACCCACCCACTCACTAACCCACCCACCCACTCACTCACTCACCCACTCACTCACCCACGCACTCACCAAGTCACTCACCAAGGCACTCATTCACTCACTCACTCACTCACCCACTCACTCACTCACTCACCCACTCACCCACTCACACACTCACTTACTCACCCACCCACTCACCCACCCACTCATTCACCCACCCACTCACTCACCCACCCACTCACTCACCCACTCACCCACTCACTTACTCACCCACTCACTCACTCACCCACTCACCCCCTCACTCACTCACTCACCCACTCACTCACTCACTCACCCACTCACCCACTCACACACTCACCCACTCACTTACTCACCCACCCACTCACTCACTCAACCACTCACCCACTCACTCACCCACTCACCCACCCACTCACTCACTCACCCACTCACCCACCCACTCACCCACCAACTCAATCACCGACCCACTTACCCACCCACCCACTCACCCACTCACTTACCCACTCACCCACCCACCCACTCACTCAATCACTCACCCACCCACCCACTCACCCAGCCACTCACTCACCCACTCACCCACTCACTCACTCACTCACCCTCCCACCCACTCACTCACTCACTAACTCACCCACCCACCAACTCACCCACTCACCCACACACCCACCCACCCACTCACTCACCCACTCACTCACTCAACCACTCACTCACTCACCCACTCACTCACTCACCCACACGTGGATTATTTATTTCTCTTCAGGGCAACGTTGAGGAAACTACGTCCAGAAGATATGTACGAGACATGGGTGAGTGGGTGGGTGAGTGGGTGGGTGAGTGATTGGGTGGGTGAGTGAGTGAGTGGGTGAGTGGGTGAGTGGATGAGTGGGTGAGTGGGTGAGTAGGTGAGTGAGTGAGTGGGTGGGTGGGTGGGTGAGTGAGTGAGTGGGTGAGTGAGTGGGTGAGTGAGTGAGTGGGTGGGTGAGTGAGTGAGTGAGTGGGTGAGTGAGTGAGTGAGTGGGTGAGTGGGTGAGTGAGTGAGTGAGTGGGTGAGTGAGTGGGTGAGTGAGTGAGTGAGTGGGTGAGTGGGTGAGTGAGTGAGTGAGTGAGTGACTGGGTGAGTGGGTGGGTGAGTGAGTGAGTGGGTGAGTGAGTGGGTGAGTGAGTGGGTGGGTGAGTGAGTGAGTGGGTGAGTGGGTGGGTGAGTGGGTGAGTGGGTGAGTGGGTGAGTGAGTGGGTGAGTGGGTGGGTGAGTGGGTGAGTGGGTGAGTGGGTGAGTGAGTTGGTGAGTGAGTGGGTGGGTGAGTGAGTGGGTGAGTGGGTGAGTGAGTGAGTGAGTGGGTGAGTGAGTGAGTGAGTGGGAGAGTGAGTGAGTGAGTGGGTGAGTGAGTGAGTGGGTGAGTGGGTGAGTGAGTGAGTGAGTGGGTGAGTGAGTGGGTGAGTGAGTGAGTGAGTGGGTGAGTGGGTGAGTGAGTGAGTGAGTGACTGGGTGAGTGGGTGGGTGAGTGAGTGAGTGGGTGAGTGAGTGGGTGAGTGAGTGGGTGGTGAGTGAGTGAGTGGGTGAGTGGGTGGGTGAGTGGGTGAGTGGGTGAGTGGGTGAGTGAGTGGGTGAGTGGGTGGGTGAGTGGGTGAGTGGGTGAGTGGGTGAGTGAGTGAGTGGGTGAGTGGGTGAGTGAGTGGGTGGGTGTGTGAGTGAGTGAGTGGGTGAGTGAGTGAGTGAGTGGTTGAGTGAGTGGTTGAGTGAGTGGGTGAGTGGGTGGGTGAGTGGGTGAGTGGGTGAGTGGGTGAGTGAGTAGGTGAGTGAGTGAGTGAGTGGGAGAGTGGGTGAGTGAGTGGGTGAGTGAGTGGGTGGGTGAGTGAGTGGGTGGGTGAGTGAGTGGGTGAGTGAGTGGGTGAGTGAGTGAGTGAGTGGGTGAGTGAGTGAGTGAGTGGGTGAGTGAGTGGGTGAGTGGGTGAGTGAGTGAGTGGGTGAGTGAGTGAGTGAGTGGGTGAGTGAGTGAGTGAGTGGGTGAGTGAGTGGGTGAGTGAGTGGGTGAGTGGGTGAGTGAGTGGGTGAGTGAGTGGGTGAGTGGGTGAGTGAGTGGGTGAGTGAGTGAGTGGGTGAGTGAGTGGGTGGGTGAGTGAGTGAGTGGGTGAGTGGGTGGGTGAGTGGGTGAGTGGGTGGGTGAGTGAGTGGGTGAGTGAGTGAGTGGGTGAGTGGGTGGGTGATTGGGTGAGTGAGTGGGTGGGTGAGTGAGTGAGTGAGTGGGTGAGTGAGTGGGTGGGTGAGTGGGTGAGTGAGTGGGTGAGTGGGGGGTGAGTGAGTGAGTGGGTGAGTGGGTGAGTGGGTGAGTGAGTGAGTGGGTGAGTGAGTGGGTGGGTGAGTGGGTGAGTGAGTGGGTGAGTGGGTGGGTGAGTGAGTGAGTGAGTGGGAGAGTGGGTGAGTGGATGGGTGAGTGAGTGAGTGGGTGAGTGAGTGAGTGAGTTACTGAGTGGGTGAGTGAGTGTGTGGGTGGGTGAGTGAGTGGGTGAGTGAGTGGGTGAGTGAGTGAGTGTGTGAGTAGGTGAGTGAGTGAGTGAGTGGGTGGGGGAGTGAGTGAGTGGGTGGGTGAGTGGGTGAGTGTGTGAGTGAGTGAGTAGGTGAGTGAGTGAGTGGGTGAGTGAGTGAGTGAGCGGATGAATGAATGGGTGAGTGAGTGAGTGAGTGGGTGAGTGGGTGAGTGGGTGAGTGAGTGGGTGAGTGGGTGGGTGAGGGAGTGGGTGATTGGGTGGGTGAGTGAGTGAGTGAGTGGGTGAGTGAGTGAGTGGGTGAGTGGGTGAGTGGGTGAGTGAGTGGGTGAGTGAGTGGGTGAGTGGGTGAGTGGGTGAGTGAGTGGGTGAGTGGGTGAGTGGGTGAGTGAGTTAGTGAGTGGGTGGGTGAGTGAGTGGGTGAGTGAGTGAGTGAGCGGATGAATGAGTGGGTGAGTGAGTGAGTGGGTGAGTGGGTTAGTGGGTGAGTGGGATAGTGAGTGGGTGGGTGAGTGGGTGAATGGGTGGGTGAGTGGGTGAGTGGGTGAGTGGGTGGTTGAGTGAGTGGATGAGTGGGTGGGTGAGTGAGTGGGTGAGTGAGTGAGTGAGTGGGTGAGTGGGTGGGTGGGTGGGTGAGTGAGTGAGTAAGTGGGTGAGTGAGTGAGTGAGTGGGTAAGTGAGTGAGTGGGTGAGTGGGTGAGTGAGTGAGTGAGTGGGTGAGTGGGTGGGTAAGTGAGTGAGTGAGTGGGTGAGTGGGTGGGTGGGTGAGTGAGTGAGTGAGTGGGTGAGTGAGTGAGTGGGTGAGTGAGTGAGTGAGTGGGTGAGTGGGTGAGTGAGTGAGTGGGTGAGTGGGTGGGTAAGTGAGTGAGTGGGTGAGTGGGTGGGTGAGTGAGTGAGTGGGTGAGTCAGTGAGTGAGTTGGGTGAGTGAGTGAGTGGGTGGGTGGGTGGGTGAGTGGGTGAGTGAGTGAGTGAGTGGGTGAGTGAGTGAGTGAGTGGGTGTGTGGGTGAGTGAGTGAGTGGGTGAGTGGGTGGGTGAGTGAGTGAGTGAGTGGGTGAGTCAGTGAGTGAGTTGGGTGAGTGAGTGAGTGGGTGGGTGAGTGGGCGAGTGAGTGGGTGAGTGAGTGAGTGGGTGAGTGGGTGAGTGAGTGGGTGGGTGAGTGAGTGGGTGAGGGAGTGATTGAGTGGGTGAGTGAGTGGGTGAGTGGGTGAGTGAGTGGGTGGGTGAGTGGGTGAGTGAGTGGGTGAGTGAGTGGGTGGGTGAGTGAGTTGGTGAGTGGGTGAGTGAGTGGGTGAGTGAGTGGGTGAGTGGGTGAGTGGGTGGGTGAGTGGGTGGGTGAGTGGGAGAGTGGGTGGGTGGGTGTGTGAGTGAGTGGGTGAGTGGGTGAGTGGGTGAGTGGGATAGTGAGTGGGTGGGTGAGTGGGTGAGTGAGTGGGTGAGTGAGTGAGTGGGTGAGTGGGTGAGTGAGTGGGTGGGTGGGTGAGTGAGTGAGTGGTTGAGTGAGTGAGTGAGTGGTTGAGTGAGTGGGTGAGTGGGTGGGTTAGTGGGTGAGTGGGTGAGTGGGTGAGTGAGTAGGTGAGTGAGTGAGTGAGTGGGAGGGTGGGTGAGTGAGTGGGTGAGTGAGTGGGTGGGTGAGTGAGTGGGTGGGTGAGTGAGTGGGTGAGTGAGTGGGTGAGTGAGTGAGTGACTGAGTGGGTGAGTGAGTGAGTGAGTGGGTGAGTGAGTGAGTGAGTGAGTGAGTGGGTGAGTGAGTGAGTGAGTGGGTGAGTGAGTGGGTGAGTGAGTGAGTGGGTGAGTGGGTGAGTGGGTGAGTGAGTGGGTGAGTGAGTGGGTGAGTGAGTGGGTGAGTGAGTGAGTGGGTGAGTGAGTGGGTGGGTGAGTGAGTGAGTGGGTGAGTGAGTGAGTGGGTGAGTGGTGGGTGAGTGGGTGAGTGGGTGGGTGAGTGGGTGAGTGGGTGGGTGAGTGAGTGGGTGAGTGAGTGAGTGGGTCAGTGGGTGGGTGAGTGAGTGGGTGGGTGAGTGAGTGAGTGGGTGAGTGAGTGGGTGGGTGAGTGGGTGAGTGAGTGGGTGAGTGGGTGGGTGAGTGAGTGAGTGGGTGAGTGGGTGAGTGGGTGAGTGAGTGGGTGAGTGAGTGGGTGGGTGAGTGGGTGAGTGAGTGGGTGAGTGGGTGGGTGAGTGAGTGAGTGAATGGGAGAGTGGGTGAGTGGATGGGTGAGTGAGTGAGTGAGTGGGTGAGTGAGTGAGTGTGTTACTGAGTGGGTGAGTGAGTGGGTGGGTGGGTGAGTGAGTGGGTGAGTGAGTGGGTGAGTGAGTGAGTGTGTGAGTGGGTGAGTGAGTGAGTGAGTGGGTGGGGGAGTGAGTGAGTGGGTGGGTGAGTGGGTGAGTGGGTGAGTGAGTGAGTGGGTGAGTGAGTGAGTGGGTGAGTGAGTGAGTGAGCGGATGAATGAGTGGGTGAGTGAGTGAGTGGGTGAGTGGGTGAGTGGGTGAGTGAGTGGGTGAGTGGGTGGGTGAGGGAGTGGGTGAGTGGGTGGGTGAGTGAGTGAGTGGGTGAGTGGGTGAGTGGGTGAGTGAGTGGGTAAGTGGGTGAGTGGGTGAGTGGGTGGGTGAGTTAGTGAGTGGGTGGGTGAGTGAGTGGGTGAGTGAGTGAGTGAGCGGATGAATGAGTGGGTGAGTGAGTGAGTGGGTGAGTGGGTGAGTGGGATAGTGAGTGGGTGGGTGAGTAGGTGAATGGGTGGGTGAGTGGGTGAGTGGGTGGTTGAGTGAGTGGATGAGTGGGTGGGTGAGTGAGTGGGTGAGTGAGTGAGTGAGTGGGTGAGTGGGTGGGTGGGTGAGTGAGTGAGTGGGTGAGTGAGTGAGTGAGTGATTGGCTGAGTGAGTGAGTGAGTGGGTGAGTGGGTGAGTGAGTGAGTGAGTGGGTGAGTGGGTGGGTAAGTGAGTGAGTGAGTGGGTGAGTGGGTGGGTGGGTGAGTGAGTGAGTGAGTGGGTGAGTGAGTGAGTGAGTGGGTGAGTGAGTGAGTGAGTGGGTGAGTGGGTGAGTGAGTGTGTGGGTGAGTGGGTGGGTAAGTGAGTGAGTGAGTGAGTGGGTGAGTGGGTGGGTGAGTGAGTGAGTGGGTGAGTCAGTGAGTGAGTTGGGTGAGTGAGTGAGTGGGTGGGTGAGTGGGCGAGTGAGTGGGTGAGTGAGTGAGTGGGTGAGTGGGTTAGTGGGTGATTGAGTGGGTGAGTGGGTGAGTGAGTGAGTGAGTAGGTGGGTGAGTGGGTGGGTGAGTGAGTGAGTGAGTGGGTGGGGGAGTGAGTGAGTGGGTGGGTGAGTGGGTGAGTGTGTGAGTGAGTGAGTGG